GGTGTGAAAAGGCTGTTTCGAACCAATTGCAAGGTAGCCTTGTTTGTATATAGTGATTAGACGTTGTCAGCGCGTGAGAGCGAGTATATTAGGCTAGTGTAAGCGAGAGATGAAGACGTGTGCAGGTTAGGAGGATGCTGTGAAAGTGTGCAAAGTATGAGAGATGTGTAGTGATAAAGGGAATATCGGTGAGGACTGGCAAGTTGTGTAAATGGGGCAGGAGTAATCGGCGACGAGGGGAGATAGATGAGTGTGTTGAGGCAAAGTGTAGATGAGTAGAGTAGAGCAAGGTTGGGATTGTCTTTGTGAAAAATGGAGGGAAGCACGAGGCCTCCCCACTAGCAAAAAGTGTACGTCCGAGAGAACCCGATTAGGGTCCGTCGCGGGCTTCAACCCACCGGAGTGCACTGGTGAGCCTCCGCCCGGGGTCAGAGAGTTGTTGATCACCCTGAACCCGGCGCCAGGTAAGTTTAATCCAGCAGCAGGCATACTTTAGCCATTCACCAGATTGCCGCTTTCACTGCCCACCTCATTTGCACATGCATCTCATCTACTCACAATTTGGCAATACCTCTGCCTCACTCATGCTGCCACAAATACTAACACTACTAGGCATGCCAAACTTTTCTCTACCCAACAGACTTCACGACAATTGCACAGAAATCATTATGCCAACTGTATCATCATTGCTTACTCATTTCTTCTGCAGTAGTAGACTAATGTCTCGAAACCCTACTTTCTTACGAGTAGTAGACTAGTAGAAGCAACTAACATTTCGCCTTTTCCTCTGCTCTCCAAACTTCGTTTGTCCTCGTCAGATTGGCATCAAGCATTGTTCTGGCCAACTCGACAAGAATAAATCTCTTCTGTTACCTACCTCCTAATATGCCGTCAGTTCGGCTATTTCCTCGACCTACATACCCGGCTAACTGGCACGTCGATTATGCCGAGCTAATTTGCTGGACTGTAGTAGAGAGATGAGAAAGGCTAGCAACCGGACTCCAGTCCAGTACGGAGTATTCATGTAGAAAAACTTGGTTTCGAAGAATCCCTTAATATTTCGTTTGAAGAGGAGAGTGGGAGGGATTCGTAACTTGGTTCCGCCAGAAGCAGTGGAGGGATACCCTTGGAGTTTTGATTATAGATTTGTGTGAATAGGTCCTTAGTGCATCGCCCTGTGACGCCTATGAATTCTTGCTCAGCCTTCATCCGTTATGTGACGGACATCGTCAGAGTAGGCCATCAGGCTTAACGATAGGTTACCAAAGACACGAAGAAAAAAAAGGCTTCTCAAGTTTGGGTCGGATATCCTATGCTTTTCATAAATGTTTGCTCAAAAGTTAAGTTAATTTGCTGCGAATGACGTGTAAAGTGGCTGCAGATGAAGCGTGAAACGGGTGCAATTGTGACCGAACAGCTGCATCATTTACGTTTAATGGTAAACTGTATGAACAAACACGAGGTTTGGCTATGGAATCGTGTTTGTCACCAAGTTCAGTAAATAATTGCTTAATTCGGTAGACACTT